GAAGAGAAGAGAGAGGAGAGAGCACAGAGACGACAATAAGGAGCTAAGTGTTTATTTATTAAATGATCTAGACATAATGATATTGTTATCATCGTTCTCGGTCACCGCGTGCTTGCAATTGTGTTTACTCAGACATAAGCTGCTTCGGCTCGACGAGATTGAATGAAAAAAACACATAATGCGAATGGAACCAATCAGTGCAATAATAGTCATAGCACCACAAACATACACACAGAACATGTAGACCCGGCCCCAGCGACCAAGGCCATGGTCGTTATGTATCAGCTACCTCAAATGTCTAGCCCTCTAACTGCAGCCTGTGAAACGAGGAATTCTTTCTTTTCCTGGATACGACCAAGGCAAGAAAACATGATACAACTGTAATACTTCGCTGTCATGTACTACATGTCTACACTCTACAGTCTACAGTCAGCTGTCATTATGACGAGTATATAACTTTAAATGTTACATTCGTTTCCCCCCTCGGCACGCAATTTCATCACAACGAATATTAGAAACGTTTTCAAACAAAAACGACCGCCTGGAAGAACTGCGGCACTCCGCGAAATACCGCGATCCGACGAAAGAATACTCATCCGCTCGTAGATAGTGCGCACAATTCGCTCTACAATAATTACTTTAACGGCAATATATATGATAATGACTTGTGAGTCACAAACGCTGTGCGACCATCGATTGTCCGCATAAAACAACGCCACCTCGGCTGGAATCTGAGTTTGTCGGTAGCGTCTTGTGCTTGCAAAGGCGACTGGCTCCCTTATCCCAAGCTCGGGGCATTGTCTCCTTCCCATCGGCCGCCCTAAACGCAAAACACACACACACACACACCATCTATCTACACTGTATACGCCATATTTCTCGCGTACAGATATTTTCGCGAATTCAGACTTGACGGACAATTTCGCGAGTGGTTAATTTCGTGGCCTGTGAATTATTGAATTATTCGGTATTATTCGGTTTGAATTATTCGCGTGTTGCGATTTTCGCGGTCGGGGACGCGCTCGCGTAATTCGCGAAAATTAAACCACCGCGGAATATACAGCGTATACAGTAACTCATTCATCTACACACAAGTAATAAATAAAGGATAACTGAAGTTGATCGAAAACACATCGACGCGCTCAGGTTCACGTGGACGAAGCGTACCTGACACGCCATCCGGTAGCTGTCCTGGTTCCCAGCGAGGAATGAGTAACAAGTGAGCAGGCAGTTGTCGGACGTGGCCGTCACAGGTAAAGTGAAGCTGAAACCATGCCAAACACGTCACCGATGATGATGATGATGATGATGATGATATCGGCAGCACGAGCGAGACTGCTGCTACATCGGGAGAACGACATTCCGTAGATACGCGCATTCTCACTCCCGCATTTGTTTCGCAAATTCCCACAAAAATCTCGGAGTACATTCATTTAACTGACGATCTATACCTATACATTTTATACCTTATTTACAATTAATTTGATTTGCTTATTATTTATTAGTGGTTAATTCAGAGGGAGCCAGACTTATTCTCCCCGAGGAGAGAATAAGGAACTAAGAGAAGAGAAGAGAATTCAGAGGGAGCCCCACCTGTTGCCGAAAGAATCGTTGAAGGTCAGCTCCGTGGCGAAGGACACCGGTGTCGGAGCACTGAAGGTCACCGTGCAGCGAATCACCTGACAGGTGGCACCACCAGCATCGGCAGCGCCCTCTATGCGCGGCTCGTCTGGGAATTTCACGTTGAGAACGGAGAGGAGGCCTCCGTCCTCTCCCTCGATCGCTGGCACGTCCACGTCGATACTGGAGGAGCTAGCACAGTGAGGGAGAACGCGAGACGTAAGTGTAGAGCAAGTGATACTGAAGCTGAGAGGGTCTATGTCCCCCAGGGTACTGCCGGAACGTACCCTGGGTACGGTCCGGTATACCGGAACGTACCCTGGTAACTATCTAATATGCCGGACCGTACCTCGCCTACTCCACTAACGAGTCTAGGGAGTCGCCTATGCCTATACCCTAACCCTAACCCTAACCCTAACCCACAAATCAGATACGTTCACACCAGCGGTAGCGTTCCAAAGTATAGCGCGGACCGTACCCGGGTAATCATCCCGGCAGTACCCTGGGCGACATAGACGTACACTACCCCTGAGCGATACTGACAGGACGCGAGATGTGGATCACGGATCACACGCGGACAATGCGGGGCAATGCGGACATGCGTGAAGTGGAGACACTGGAGTAACTCTTTCCAATGTGAATCTACTGCACTACATCAACTGTGGGCTTTCAAGAAGCTTTTGACAAGGCTTACTCGTACAACAGCGACTGATGCCATTCAGTACAAAGTTACACGACTACTACACTTATAGTAACACACTGCCTACGAGCTTGGAATTGACATAAAGTTGTAAATTTTGTTTAGTTTGTTTCAAATTTAAAGTTGTAAGGGAAGAGGGAATGTGGGATTCAAATACACAGAAAGGAGGGAGAACGATAGGGAACGGAGGAGAACTCATGCAGCCAGACCAAAACGCAACGACATCAGCGTTAGTTAAGATGGCGGCAGTCATGCAGGCAGAGCGCCCCCTACCGGTCATATCCCGTGGCGACGAGCTGCACCTCAGCGGTGACGCTAGCGTTGAGTGGCGTAGGCGTGAGCACGAGCGAGCGCGGAGAGAACGCGACGCGGGGCCCGTCCGAGCGGAAATTCCCGCCGAACCTGACGTGCAGTACT